AATATCAAAGCAATTGCACTTGCGGTTTTTAACAAGAAGTCGAAAATATCACTTTTTACCAAAAATGACAAAAATATTCACCAAAATTAGAGAATTGAAGATATCAACATGAAATGAACAAACCTAAGAGAGGTCTACCCAAGGTACATATACACCAAGTATCAAAGCATTCAGGCTTGTAGTTTTCAAGAAGAAGTCGAAAAAGTAAAACATTGACATGGACGACGACGACGGACGACGACGACGGACAATCACTCATATGATAAGCTCCGCTCGACAAAGTCGACAGCGGAGCTAAAAAACGGGACAAAGCTCGAAAATTCGCAGTAATCCCGCAATGCCGCGCTCTGGCTGAAACCCTGCCTGCATATGTACAACACATTGTATGTGTGTGAAGTGTGGTCTTGATCGGTTCAGGCATGCCTGAGATATGGATGCTGAACTGTATTCAGTTAAAACTCGATTTGGAAAACAAAACGTGATTCAAGGTACCATAATGTACAATGTATGCATGGTGAATATGTGCAATTTTGACGAATTTTTGACCTTTGATGGATGTTATACACCCATCTTAAATCAGATCTTGACCCACCTAACATGCATACATGTGTGTACAACATGTATGACGTATGTATGACACTTGAACTTGATCTGTCCAGGCATGTCCGAGATGTGGATCGAAAACTAAATTCTTGAAAAAACAAAAATGGTGTGCATCAAGCTTATATTATGTTTAATATATGCACTAAATCTGAACAAAATCCATCCATGCATGACTGAGATCCAGTTCCGGAATTGTGAAAATACGTGATTTTGATGCATTTTCGGCTTTAAAATGGCCATCATTCAGCTATCGTTAAGCGGATCATGAAACAAATGCACATATCTATTTGTGACAAGATGTACCATGTGTGTGTGAAGTTTGTACTTGATCAATCCAGACATGTCTCGGATATGAATCCAGAACTGAATTCTTTAAAACAAAATGGCCACCAGTCGGCCATTTTGAACTTGATCCGAAAAAAAAAAACGTGCATCAAGGTCCTATTATGTTTAATGTATGTACTAAATTTGAACAAAATCCGTCCATGCATAACTGAGATCCGGGTCCGGAATGGTGAAAATGTGCGATTTGAATGCATTTTCGGCCTTAAAGCGGCCGCCATTTGGCTATCGTTAATCGGATCATGAAAAAAATGCATGTGCACATGTGCCATATAATGTGTGATGTATGGGTGAAGTTTGAACTTAATCTGTCCATGTATATTTGAGATACAGGTGATCACTGAAGCACACAGGGCAAACCATAAGTCCCCCCGTTTTCGGACTATGTCCGAACGGGGACTAAAAATATTTATTTTTCCTAAAAAGAAACACTACCTCAAAATACACGGACCACAATAAAATGTCCGTAGAATATGTATTCTATTATAATTTGTATCTGTATAATTTTTCAACTGCATGCAATTCCAAATACCAGTTAAAATATCGTTTAGACTTAAAATACAATTTATTTGGATGAATCAAGATAAAACAAGTCATGAATGACACTGCCTTCGCTAGTTGTCATTCTAAAGTTGCATGGACATAAATTGGCCAACATGATTTCTATAGCATTTTCAAGTTTATAGCACTCTCCATCCAGGTCAGCATTATTCTCAGCAAGGAAACCAGATAGCACCAAACCAATACAACAGGTAAAATGACAAGGAAGTATACAAATCAGATCTGCAAATATGTAGAGTCAGTGTTGTGTCTGTTTGGATAAACTAGTTTGTGGCCCTGGATCAGTTTCAATATCTCTAAT